CCCCAGCACCACATGCCAGCCAGCCCCGCCCCCTGGTGGGCTGAGCTGGCCACACACACACTCACACATAAATAAATGTAATAGATAAATAATTAAAAAATAAAAGTTTCATTAAAAAAAAATGAATGTGTAATTGGATCACCTGCACTACTTTTGGGGAATGTTGTCAAGGATTTAGCAATCACAGCTATCATTAACAATTTTATATCCCAACACTCAGGAGCCAGGGGGGCTGGGGAAGACAGCTCAGTGGCATAAGTATCTGACTCAGGATCCAGGAGCAGGACTGTTAAGAGCTCAAGACCAGCCTGGGTTACAAAGTGGCTCAAGGCCAGCCTGACTGCACAGCAAGACCCTGTCTCAGAGCAAAAGAGAAAGCATGTGAGAGTGTATGAAAGATTGTTCATGTTCATGAGTCTAAATGTATAGTCCAAGGAAGACAACCTGAGTTTGAAGTCATCCTGGATTAAATAGTGAGTTCAAAGCCAGCCTGAACTACAAAACAAGATCCTGTCTCCAAAAAATAAAATTAATTCAACTTAGTGCAGACTCCCCCTAATACACATCTACCTCCTCTATTTTAGCACCAAGTTACATCAGAAATGTAAACTAGTGGTTTCACCTAAACTGCCAAATGCTGCAGTCCACTGACCCCTGCAGGTCCCCAAATTTTTCTAATAACCGTGTAAAGTCTAAACTACTGTCTACCTCTAATTCAAAATCACTGGAAATATAATCAAATCTTTCTTTCCCAGGACTTTGCACCCCATACACAGAACCTAAAACTCTCATTACCTGCAAAAGGTTCAATGAAAGCAAGACTCAAATAAAAAGTAACAAATTCATGGACTACAAATGCTAATACAAGTGGTGAAATTACCCATCTATCAAAGCTGCACATGTGAACTAATGTGCTAACAAAATGTAGCTGACATGTCCGAGAGTCATAAACCTCTATGGAGGAAAGGGCTCACTCCCAGGGGCCACCAAGGATGACAGGAAGATCTGAAAAGGAGACTGAACAGGTTAGCAAGGAGCTGCCCCAACCCAAACAAAACTTGCACAGCCTCTTCTGGAAAAGCACTTCAATTACCCACACCTTGCGAAAGCCTATGATAGACAAGATGCTACCTTCTGTGCAGCAAAGGAAGAACTCCTTCCAGAAGGCTCTTTCCCAGCACTGACTTCACCTGCCCTACCTGCAAATCTTACTCCGGGAGCCTGAAATACAGATGAGGAATCAAAATCTTAGCAGGTGTTCTTAATGGGACAGGATTTAAGAAAAATAAAGCTGGGCATCATCATAAAGTCTGTCATTCCAGCCCTTGGGAGGCTGAAGGAGGAGGATCACTGCAACTTCCGGACCAACCTGGACTATAAAGTGAGTTCAAGGCCAGCCTAAACCACATAGACCTTGTCTCAAAAATACCCTCCATACACACAAAAGGAGAAAAACTCTCTCAAAATAATGAGCCTCCAAAACTCAAATACTAAGAGCTAAAGTACTTTTTGCCATACTGAACATGTTCTCTATCAGGAGAAACAAAAAAAATGCAACTTAGCATGTCTGCTCCAAAAAAGTAGGTGATTTCCAGGCTGATCCAAGCTCCCAAAAGACAGGGATACTGAGACTTCATTCAGTGCCCAGTGCAGTCATGGCCCTCCTCACAGTAAATGCCAGTCTATAATCTGAATTTAAGAGTACCAGGGCCTGCCTACACAGCCTCCACTCACAAACACCATAGACTGGGAGTTATTACTGGGTGCAAGACCACACTGAGGCAGGGGCCTGCAGTGCTAGAAAAGCACGGTAGCACTTGCTAACATTTCCAAGGCCTTCCCACATGCCCATCCAGTCCCTGTCTCATTAAGGAGTCTCTGGCCCCCACACTTCGCTCACTGTTCAAGTCCCGTAGCTACATGCCTGGAGATCAAACAGAAAGCCACACACAAAGCATAGTGGTGGGACCGTGAGCAAATCAAGGAGCTTCTCAACTACAAACACCTAAAGAGAAAAGAGCATGGAGTGCCGTACTTGGCCCTCACTTTTTATAACACCTCTCATTTTCCAGTGGACCCCAAATTTTCCATCACACCACTTACTGTAAAAGAGGGAGCATCTTGAACCACTAAAAAGAAATATTCAAAAACTTAGCCTTGCAGATCCATCCTGCTCCCTAAGCGGTAATTTGCTGCATTTCTGGAAACGTTGGTAAGAAATGCCTTACTCTCATACAGCCCAAATAATTTACACAAACAGGTGCAGAACTAACCAAGGGGAGAACCTCAAGCGTACCCTCAAAAATCTCCATCACTCAACTACTTGAAGAAAAAGGTACGAAATGGCTAAGCACCCACACTTCGGTCCCCATCTTACAGATTTCCGTACCACCAAAACACACTTTTGCAGAATGAAAATCGTAAGCAACCTGGGAAACACTAAACATCAATGAAAATCAACTAATCTAATCAAAAAGCAAAGTAAATCCTCCCAATTGTGGAGCCTGATCTGGAGGCCGATATACAGCGGGTTTAGGAACCCGAAGAACCCACAAAAGCTTCTTCTGTAATCCTCCTAGGGAAAGAGTTTCCAGGGAAGAGGGTTCTGTCTCCACAGGCCCCGTGCAGGACAAAGGAGAAAAGATTTCCCGCCTTGGGAACCTGGGACTTGTCCTGGGGAAGGACCGGGACAAAGAGGAAGAGGGGCATCACTGCAGCCGAGCCTGCTAGGATGCTCGGGGCCCGAGGGGGGTGTGTGCGCCAGGCACGTGCGCGCGTGCGCGCGGCGCAGCAACAGACAAAGCCCGGCCTGGGGGAAGCAGCAGCCGGGGGTCCGGTGCGCGCGCACCCCGCGGGCTGAGGGGGCCACGCGTGGGGGGGTGGATGCGCGCGCACCGGGCCCTCGCCGCCGTCGCCGCCATCTTGTTTCCTCGGCACAATGGGGGAGAGTAACGGCCGAAAGCGGGAACGACGCGAGCCGAGGAGGAAGCAGGTGGGCGTCAAGGCGAGGGAAATAGGCAAAGGACTGGGATGCGGCGCGTCACCTGCCTTGTCACTACCAATGCTCACCCGGGACCGCGCTAGGAGGGAAAACGGACGGGGGGGAGGGGCAGAGGCGGGAGAGGGCCGGACCGCCGCCACATTGACGCTTACCTTCTCGGCGTCCCCTTCCCCGACACCAGCCTACGCCGCCTCCTCCCTCCTGCCAAAGCCCACCGGGGTCTCCCCCCAAAAGCCACGCGGTGCGCGCCGGGCTGGTGAATCCAACTGCAATGGCGAGAAGAGGAGGAGGAGCCGGGGACGAGCGGGCTGGCGGGCGGGCGCGCGCCGGGGAGGTACGGGGCCACGTGACCGGCCCGAGCCCCGCCTTCTCATCGTCGCGTAGCCGCACGACGCAGGCCCAACCTTAATGAGTGGGTGGGGCTAAAAGCGATAGGTGGGCGTGGTCTCACACGTGATGGGCGCGTAGCACTACGCGACCAGTCACGTGGCACCAGGACCGGCTCTTCCACTCCAGCGGCGTCGTTTAGTCATGTGATAGGGGCAAAGGCAAGGACCTACTCTACCACGTGATGGGGGCTGTTAGCCTTATTTCCTTTCTATTGGTAGGCCTATGTCACGTGACAAAAACGCCCTTTTTTTCAATGGCGGTTTTGAGCGGTATTTACCACGTGACAGACGGCGAGGGACCGCCCTAGTGAAGGCTGCGCGTTTGTACGCCTGCGCGTCTGCCATCTTACTCGGGTCGCCCGGAGTACGTTGACGGAAACGGCTCAGAGTGTGGCACGTGTGTGACTCGGCTTAGGAAGCCGGACTTCCGTCTCTGGTGGAGAGGGATCGCCTGAGCCCCTCGTCTTCTGCTAATGGCATAGAGGCTGGGCCGTCCCTCCTGCTGGAGTTCATCCCGGCGGTCAGGAGCGCCCCGGTCCTTCAGTCCCGAGGTACAGCGCCTGACCCCAGCCCTCTCCCCGGAGCCTCCCGAGGCGGCCGGCGCATGCTCGTGATCTGCAGACCCTTCTCCCCCCACTCTTTGGCCACGGGAAAAACAGCGACTTGGGAAGGAGGCGAACTGCTCGGCTCCAAAGTGAAGGCACCGGTGTCCTGCTACTTTTGGTGTTCTGAGATAAGGCTGTCGGTGAACTCGGCGATACTGCCTCAGCCTTCCTGTTGCTGGCATGACAAGCGTGTGCCACCACGCCTAGCTCGAGAGTACTCCTTTTTGTTTGTTTCTGAGGGTCTACCTGTGTAGTTACGCTGGCTTTGAACTTGAGCGATCCTCTTACTTCAGTGCGCCCCCTCCACCTGCCGTGATGGGACCTCTATGCTCTGGAGCCAAGTGTATCGGCTCATGCCTCTAATCCCAGCAACCGGGAGGCTGAAACTAGAGGATTACTACCTGCAAGACCAGCCGTAGCAAAATACCAAGAACTTGTGGAGGGAAAAACAAGAGTGCCGCCACCAGCCGCAACTGGCATAGTTGAATCTTGCTGGGAAGATTGTGAAGCTACCAATAACCCCGTTCTTTGCCAGGGTGCAGTTGGCAAGTTAAGGGATGCCGGGTTGCTCCTTCAGAAGGTTCCAGGTTTCCTTGCCAGAGATTTAAGTTGTTCAAAATATATTTATGGGGCTGGGGAGATAGCTCAGTAGGATAAGCACTTGCCTGGCAAGCTCAAGGGCCTGAGTTCAATCCCCGGTTCCGCAAAAAAAAAAAAAAAGAAGGCACAGTTGACATCCTTTTGGGAGCCTGGGCCTAGCTCAGTCCTTTAAGTGGCTGCTTCCACAAAGCTGTCAGCCTCAGGTGGCTGGAGTTCGAACCTCACAACTCTCCTGCTGGCCAACGTGCCCTGAAGGCATGCGAGGACAAAAAAAAAAAAAAAATCCTTATTCCAAAATATATTTATGGCCTGATCTTAAGAAAGCATCCAACATGAAATGCAAAAACAAGCAAATAAAAGCTTAAAATAGTTCCCATGTAAAAAGGCAGCAAGGTAGTACATGCCTGTGTAATCCCAGCTCCCTGGAAGACTGAGGCAAGAGGAATGCTGAGTTGAAGGCAGGCATGGGCTGCATATTGAGTTCAAGACCAGCTGAGCCAGGCGTGGCAGTGCATGCCTGTTATCCCAGCACTTGGTAGGCTGAAGCAGAAGGCTTGTTTCAAGTTCAAGACCGTCCTAAGCTGCAACTGCATAGCAAGACCCTGTCTCAAAAAGACAAGGGCTGCAGAGATAGTTCAGCGGCATTAGCGCCTGCCTAGTAGGTGCGAGGTTCTGAGTTTGATCCCCATGGTACCAAAAAAATAAAATAACAAAAATAAACCTGTATCAAAAAGGCTGAGGGGTTTAAGCCTTAGGAGGGAGGACGGAAGGGCAGGCTAAAGACATATGGCTCAGTGGGAAGGCTCTACCCCCAAAACAGAAATTGTCTGTAACCTACGATCTTACTGGCAGTCCAACCCGAGACCAGCAGTGCGACTTGCCTGAGCTCACAGCGCTCCCAGGTGGCAGAATAGGATACATTCTACTTTCCCCATTCCAGTGTTCTTGTGGGCACTTTAAGATTCTCTGAAGGCACTTCTTCCTCGAAGTCAGCTCCCGTGGAAGGGGGCAAACACAGAAAGGAGCGGGCAAGATTGTGACTGTAAGCAGTAGGCAGCCAGCGGTTTGGAGCATGCAAAACAAAACAGTTACAGGTTTCTGCCAGGTATGGTGTTGCATATCTGTAATCCTAGCACTCAGGAGGCTGAGGCAGAGGCAAGAGGATCAGAGTTCAAGGCCAGCCTGAGCTATATAGTGAGCTTGAGGCCAGCATGAGCTACACAGCAAGACCCTGTCTCAACAACGATGGATAGGGTTAGGGGAGACTGCCACAGATGGAATCCAAGGAGAGGTGAGAATATGAAAAGAATTGAGGTGGCCAGGTGTGGTGGTGCATGCCTATAATCCCAGCACTCAGGAGGCTGAGACAGGAGGATTGTTGCCCATTCGAGACAAAGTGGACTACAAAGCAAGCTCAAGGCCAGCCTGAACCACATAGAGACCCTGTTTCAAAAAAACAAAACCCAAACAGAATTCAGGTGTTACATACAGGCATCAACTTCACTTTGTATAATGCAAATGCACACTAATATTAAAACCAGGGGCTGGGAAGATAGCTCGGCAAGTGCGAGGACCTAGGTTCTATCCCTTGCACCACATGCTGTGCTGACCACCAAAACTGGGCATGGTGGCGTGCACCTGTAATACCAATGCTGTGGAGGCTGAAACAGGAGCATCACTACAAGTCCGAGCTGCGTAGTGAGATCCTGTACCAAATAATTTTTTTTTAATTAAAAATTATATATATATATTAAAAAAAGTGCCTGTGAGTGAGTTCACCAGTTTGAGGCTCAGGACGGCTCTGGTGGCGCGCGCCCCCTGCAGCACGAGTGCTGAACAGCACCCTTGGCAGTTTCCCTCTGTCGCCTCTGCCGCTCTTCTTTGGTCGCTGCTTTCACCTTCCCTGAGGGATTAATCCAGTCAGCTCTTATTTTCCAATTATTTCGAAAATCTGACCTTTTTTTTTTTTTTGAGACAAGAGTCACTGGAACTCACTATAGAGCCTAGGATTGATTCAAATTAGCACCCACGTGCTGTACCACATTCCTATGTAGCCCTGACAGATCTTTTTTTTTGTTGGGAGGGGGGAGGCTGGCTCCGAATGCCTTCGGGGCAGGTTTGAGTCCTGGAGATCGAACCACAGCAAGCTGAGCCTGACTGCTTTGTGGAAGCAGCCACTTAAAGAACTGAGCTAAGGGGCAGGCCCCCCTGACAGATCTTAAATAGGCAATCCTCCTGCCTCAGCCTCTGGATGTGGGATCACAGGTGAAAATTTACGGGTCCTATCTTAACGCCCTGAAGACTGGAGACACTGGCCAGGGAGATGGCTCAGTAGAATAAGCCCTTGCCTGGCAAGCACAAGGGCCTGTGTTCAATCCCTGGTTCCACCAGAAAAAAAGACTGGAGACACTAAGATAGAAATAAGTGATTTTATGGGGCTGGTGAGATGGCTCAGTGGTCTAGAGTGCCTACTTGGAACAAGCTTAGCAAGGCCCAGGGACTGCGGTTCGGTCCCCCAGCACCATATGCCAGCTGGCCCCGCCCCCCTGGTGGGCTGAGCTGGACACACACACACACACACACACACACACACACACACACACAAATTTAAAAAAAAAAGAAATAAGTGATTTTCAGGACTTTCAACTGCCAGTTTTTATTTTGTTTTGTGGTCCTGAGGTTATAACTAAGGCCTTCACGCTGAATTCCATCCCCAACTTTTTTTTAAAAATGTATTTAGTACAGGGTCTCACTAATAGATTGGACTCCTAGTGATTCTCCTGTTTTCAGCCTCAAAGCACTGGGATTGCAGGCACGTTCCTCCACGCCCCGTCTCAATCGCTTTCTCGGCCCACCCCAGGGCCAGGGCCAGCACAGCACACCAGGACTGCACCCTGGCTGCTGCACTCTGCCCAAGCAGACACTTTAGTCCGCTGAGAGCTGGTTGCCCCCCAGCTATGTTTTTATGTTGAGATAGGGTCTCTTGACATTTCTAAATTGCCCACGCTGGCCTCAGACTTGCCATCGTCCTGCTTCAGCCTCCCAGAGTGCTAGGATTACAGGAGGGCCTCACTATTCCCTGCCCAACGGCTCATCTCATTTTTAGCTCCACACTCCAGTTGTTGACCCTCAGTCTCCTTGGATTCCAGGAATAGCAGAGTCTGGCAGACCACTCTGTGGTGAGGTCACCTCCACCCTACAGGGCAGATGACCAGAACAGAGGTTGCACTGTCATCTGAGGGAAGCCTGGCCCCTCCCCAGGTCACATGACAAGGGTGCTGGAACCAGTCCCCAGATGCTGCCCGGCCAGACACTGGGCTGGCCCTGGTGGTCTGTGTTGGCAGCAGTATGCACTGCAACCCTTGCCTGGTTCTGGTTCTTGCTCTCTGTAAGACCTCAAAACTGAGGCCTCCTGAGTTTGATCCCCAGTACAAAAAAAAAAGGCCCAAAGCTTCTGTCTGTTCATGAAGCCAGCCCTGAAACCTCTGTCCTTCGCAGCATGGCCCTGTGGACCCAAGTTCCTGCATGTGCTTCCCGCACTCCCCTCCTTGGTGTTCAGGGATAGGTGGTCAAGTCTGGATTCTCCCAGCTCTCAGAGCTGGGGCTTTTGCCTTAAACTCTGTAACAAGAACAGTCTAACAGGTGCCTTGCTGGCCCCGCCCCCAGGGCCCTCTGAGACAGCGACTGAGACTGGGTGTGGTACACCTGTAATCCCAGCACCTGGGAGGCTGTAAACAGGAGGATCACTAGGAGTCTGATCTGTGTAGTGA